CGCTTTGGGTCCTGGATGGGGAGGCATGAGGTGACGATGATGAAGGTCACCAGGTGACAAGCAGGAGGGGTTTGTTTCTCAAGGGCCTTTTGTGCCATGGAAAGTGACAAGATTGAGAAAAGATGAATAGCCGCCTGCCTACTATGCAATTGGGATTGGGGCATTGGCTGGGCTGGCTGGCTGATTGTCGAGCAATTGCAATTGGCTGCCGGCTTAAGTCGTGTGGTGTCTCTGTACTGTATCTGCATGTAGAACAAGCGGGAAAACAACAAGTTTGTGCGACAGCGTGGACGGACATGGAATGGACATGGCTCCAGGCAGTGAGTGAGTGTTCTTGTGGCCTGGCTTGGCCTGGCCTGGCCCGGCCTACCTAGGTAGCCTGGCCAGATGTAAACTACCTACACAGTAACCTAGGTAGTTAGTGTAGTGCAGTGTACCTACAGATGTGAATGTGGTAATTATATCCGTACCTACCTACGTAACCGTACTCGGGTTGCTGACAAGGAAGGATTGGAAGGAATGTCGGTGCTCGGCGGGAAAGAAAAAAGGTGGCCCTCTTTGACATCGACGTCCGTCATACTTTTGCAAGGATGACCCAATCACGGATCGCCTCCCTCACTTTCCGCGGGCCCCAACACCCCTGCCATGGGTGGGTGGGTACCGTAGGTGGCATCAACCATCGGACTGCAGCTGCAAGGTTCTGTTCTGTCCCACTTCCACACTCCACACTCCACATCCCATCTGCGGCTTGCTGTGCTGGCGGCACGGCACCACTCTCGTTCTGAGCCACCTCGTCTTTTCCGACATACACTCACTACCTACCTAGTTTGTTGTACCTGCCAAGGTAGGTACGAATACCTGGGTTAGGCAGGCAGGCAGGCAGGCAGGTATGCACGATACATACTTAGGTAATCGGTGCTGCCTCCCCCCCTTTTCTGGCGCCTGTAGCCCCAAGTCATCCGGTTTCATGATGGGTCGGGCCTGGGAGGAGGAGGAACGGTGCACAACCAAGACACTTCCAAGCCCGAATTGAGGTACAGATACAACGCGGCACCCCCATTGGTTTTCGATCTCATCCCACCGAGGGGACTCGGATGACTTGATGGACACAACTAGGTAGGTACATACTGATCCGGCTCTGACGCCAGTATCGCTACCTGTCTCGTGGCCCCGTGTGTGACTGACTGATGTACCTACCTGTACTCACTCCGTATCATCCCATCAAACAGACAGAGCAGGGTTGACAGGTCCAGATCAGCCTGTTCAATTACTACTTACCAAACAGAGCTTTGGCTCCTTGTAGCACACATAGGTATTGTTGAACCACGAAGCGCAGGGGCGATCCCCATCTACTACACTAAACCGCTCACAAGGTCACATCTCCTCTTCCTCGCCTCTACAAAGGGATTCTCGACCAAGAAGATCATCCATGGATAGAATTTGCATGCTTCACAGTGCAGCCAACCAGCCAGCCAGCCAGCCAGCCCATAAATAGCCTGCCTCGGACATGGGGAGGCTTCCAGACGAGTTCAGACAAGCACGCCCATCTCATTTGCCCACCGGTCCATGCTCCGCCCTTCCTTTCCAAACCTTTTGCTTTCCCGTGACGCATGATAACTGAGTTATACTCCTGGCACAGACAACCTTGGACTCTGAAGAAGAAGAAAAAAACGTTCAGTTTGATCGCTAAGGCTTTTCCGGGACAACACGCACCAAGTCAAGTCTGTGTTTGGCGAGGTGGATGGACACAGCATGCCGTGGCTGGAAGCTCCAAAGGTGTGGCAGTGTAAGAGACCACTTCAGCCATGGTTGACCAGCAGGAGGGAAAGGTACCTACTGTACCTATTCGTACCTGCCTGCCTGGCTCTTGCATCTGCGTTACACGCTAATGTACATCGTACTTGTGGCGAGTTGCTTCCCCGCAGATTTAACGTCCCACCTACCTAGTAGTTTACCTACCACGCACCCACCTTTTCAAGCTTCCTGCTCCTGCCCTTCTTAAGTGCCATCAGTGTCCCCTTCCCTCCCCCTACCCCCCAGCTCAAGCCATTCTTCCACTTACAAGCTACCCGCCCTCTTGCATCGTCCTACTGTACAAACACCAAGAAAAACCGTTTGCCGACTGAGAGATACCCAAGACGAACGCTCAAGAGTCTGGCAACCCGTCATTCAACATGTCTACCGCAACAGAGCGCATCCACGCCCGTAAGTTCTACCAGTCGCCTGCCAAATGCTCTCTTACTCTTCAATACTGACACTCTCTCGAACCCAGTGAACCCCTTCTCTAAGAGGGAGTCACATAGCGCCAGGACGGTCACGACGTATAAGGTCCTCACCATTCTGAGTTGGCTGTTGGCCCTCATCGTCACCCTCTACTACACCGTCAACGAGCCCCGCGATGGATTCACGATCCGCAGGAGAATCTGGGACCAGAACTACCTGTATCCCACCGCCTTCACATTGAACTCTGTCATCGTTGACATCTACTGGTGAGCCTCGACAGCCTCTTGACTATGCTCGGTCTAACAGCGTTCAGGATTGTCCTCTTCATCTTGCAAATCGGCTATGTCGCCCACCTCTTTTCGAGCAATAGCGACAACGTCAATGCCGCCGCAAGTGTCGGATCCCACTTCATCTTCAACAACCTTCTGCACTTTGCCTTTGTTATGCTCTTCGTCCGCTCCCACTTTGTCTGGGCTGAGATCATCCTGCTCGTCAACTTCGCCAACCTGTCGTCGCTGTACTTCCGCCACAACACGTACCCGCGCTTCATTCACTGGCCGGTTGTTTCTGCTCCTCTGGCGTGGACCTTTGTGGCCATCTACTGGAACGGTGCCATCATGGTTCCCCACCCCCATAGCCTAGTTGCCCGCATCTTTGGCAACATCTTCGTCTGGTCCATCCTCGTCTACGGTGGCTTCTTCATCGTCGCCTACAAGGTATGACTGGTGATCCCGTGATGCTTGTTCTTCTGCTGACTTGAACCCCAGGACTACACCATTGGATTCTCCCTCAGCGTTCTGTCTGCCGCCATCGGTGTTGCTCAGTTCCACCGCCAAGTCATTGCCTTCCAGTGGATCTTTGCCTTCACCATTATGGCTGTCCTGTTTGTTTCAACGCTCGTCATCGCCTACCCGGCTGCGAGTGGCAAGGACTACCCCTGGAGAAGCCGCTCTTCGGCCCCTGCCGACCAGGAGCGCGCTCCTCTTCTCTCCAACGACCAGTAAACACGTTCAGCTTTGAATCAACATCGCAACGTTACACCCCGTGGAAACGGAGTGGACTTCGCAATGGTTAAAGCACCCCCTCGGAGAAGAAAAAAAAACCCTTCCCCATGATGCAGGTGGTGAAGTAGAGATTGTGGCTAGGAAGCTTGTGTGGCAGAATTGCGGATTCCAAAAGTGGTAGTTGCCGAGAGACTACTACGACGGAATTGTATGGTTTAGTGTACATACGATGGCTTCATTTGCGGTTACAGTAACTTTCTCGTGTTGTCATTCGGGTGATGCAAATGTGCGAGATGACGTACTGGCATTCTTATCGCTATCGTTATCGCTTGAACCTTGCTTATCGTCATGGTCTAGCCTTAGTAGGGAGTAGCTGCTTCTTTTGAGAACGCCTTGGTAGTGAATCTATCAATTACCTACTGTTTGCGTCCAAAAATCTTGTTCTCTGAGCTGTGCAATCACGCTGACTGCCGATCGATGGACTCATGTTGTCGCCGAGACCATTTCCTTTCCCCATAAATATCGGGACCGACATATGTCAAGTCTCACGTGTATACCGACTTCTGGCCAGTGACCGAGGAGCGAGCTTCCTCCGGCGCGTCCTCACCGAGGATGAGCGCGCCCTAGTTCCTGTCTGCCCGCCGTCGGGTCATGGATCGACGACCAAACTGGAGTCCAGCCAAGATGGGGATTTTCAAGCGTTGAAGAAGCACAACCCATTGTTGTGGAAACAGGCAAACTTTGTAGCTGGGAGGTAGGCTCGCACATACACCACTACCACCACCACCACCACCATCACCACCATCACCACCATCACCACCATCACCACCGCTACCATCATCAGCTTCGCCACCCACCGTCCATATCCCATCACGAATTCACACCAAGACGGTCGCTGCTGCCTGACCACACTCACCCTGGTAGCCCCCAGACTGACAGAGATTCCAGATTCGCCGCTAAAGAAGCCACGTTCAAGGCGCACCCTTTCAGGAGGCTCTCCTTCCACGACATCACTATCGCCAGGCGGGCGCTCGTGGAAGGGAAGGCGAGCCCCAACGGCAGCGGGCCGCCCGTGGCCGTCATCCGGGGCGAGCAGGAAGGCGAGCCGGGGCAGACGGCCATGGTCTCGATCAGTCACGACGGGGACTACGCCACGGCCGTCTGTCTCGGGTTCGAGCCGGGGACGAGAGAGTGCAAACGGGACGAGGACGAGAGGGTGGACTAGTAGGCTGATCAGACCCGGGGGACGGACGAGCTCTGGCGAGGGCGGTGGGTGGGGAGGCAATGGGGTGAGGTCTGTCCGGGTAAGGCTCTCTGCTCGGTTATCTAGCCCTGTATGGACATCATGGTGCTCTCGGTAGAAAGTCATCCCGCCGTACCCCCATAGATATCCCAATGTCTCCGGTGTAGGTAAACCTTCCTCTCTTGGTTTGCTCGATCCATGCCATGTTCAGCCGCCCTTGAGGATGCTGGACGCATCCCGATCTCCCGCGCTATATCCCACCGGTCAAACGCCCGAGTGGCCCCCCACCCCAATAACGGAACCGGCGCGCCACACACCGAAGTTCTCGGGGGCTTCCCCGTTCCAAGCAAACCGACTATGTACGGCCACGCGAGAGAAGAGTTCAACAACGGTGGGCCCCTCCCCACCAAACCGGCGCCCTTGTCCCCCCCCCCCACTCCACCAACACACAGCTAGCGCACAAGCACACGAGCCAAACTTAGGCCCAACTTCCGGCTGACACCCCCAACAAAAAGCAATTAGATCCATATGGCCGGCTGGCCTAATGGCTAAGGCGTCGGATTCCTATGAGGAATACAAACTCATCCGAAGATTCTGGGTTCGAGTCCCAGGTTGGTCGTCGAGAACATGAAAAATGTTCTATGAGTCTCTCTTTTTTCTTTCTTCTCCTCCCCCCCCCCCAAACCCCACCGAACCCCGTCCCTTTTGAGCATTATTTCCCGATTTTGTCTGCTGCGCTCTTTCTCGCCCACGCCAACCTCTCAGTGCGCTTGAGGTATACCCGTGCGTTAGAGTGGACCCACATTAACACACTTGACTGCGTGAGAGTGTGCACCTAAATCTTAAATATCCCCTTACTGTTAAATATCTATAAGTATTTAAATTAATATTTCTTAATAACTAGACCTAACTATGTAAAAAAATTATATTACTATACTCTTCTTACTAAAGGCTTTTAATTAATACTAATTTTATTATATCTTACGTTTCTATAACTAAGGCACTTTAATTATATACCTAGTAATAGTAAGAGTTATAGGGGATATACTCTATAATAATAGTATAGGTATATTACTTAAAGGTAACCTATAAGTATCCTTATTAATTATATAACTATACAGCCTATCTGCTACCTAAGTAATTACTTACTGATTTACTCTATTTTTTACTACCTCCCTCTTATATAAAGGAGTTATATTCTAATATCTACTGTATTAATACCTATTATTATAAGGCTCCTTTAGAGGTAACTGCTATATATATATATTAAATAATATTAATATACCTTACTAGTACTATAAGTTATTAAAGGATATAAAGTCTATTTAGCTAGTAAAGAGGTTAAAGTCCTCTAGTAGATATATATTACTACTTATCTCCTCTTTAGGCTATTACTTTAGTTACTCCTTTAGCTACCTCTTAATTTTTAATATAAGTAGTAATGCCTTAGCTATTTTATACCTAGCTGTATTACTTATTTTAGTATACTAAAGGAGGTATATAGCTTTATTAGTATTAGCTTCCTACTTTTTATTCTTATAGACCCTTTTTATAGAGGGGATATTACTAAGTGCCTCTACTTTATTATTAGTAGTATCCTATAAGTATTAAGTTATATACTTCTTATATTATTTTACCTACTTCTTTAGTTCCTTTTAATACTACTATTCTACTTTATTATAGAGAGCTTTAACTATAATAGTACTATTAGAAATATCTACCTAGCGGTAAGTATATATAAGCTTTTAGTCTTCTTTAGCCTTATAGGTAAGCTTAAGGTTTCTTTTATTTATATAGAACTAGGTTACTATTAAGACCTTTAAAGTACTCTTAATACAGCAGATATTATCCTATATACTAGTAGGACTATACTTTATAAGATACTACTATTATAGGCTTTTAAGAATATAATAAGTAGTATAAGGTATAGTATTTATATAAGTAATTACTTATAGGTAGAGCCTCTTACTTTATAAGGCTAGTGTTTTTTTCTATTTCTTAAAAGGCTGTTCTAGATCCTATAGCTATATACTAATATATTTAAATCCCTTTAGTATATAATAGTATTTAAAGCCTATATTCTAGATTTCTTACTATAAATTAAAGAAGTTAACTTTAGTTATATAAAGCAGCCTAGTATTAATATAGTTAAGTATATAGCTATATTAAGCTTTCTTTATATACTAGTATATCTCTATATCTAGTAGCTAGAGAAAGTAGTTAGTATATAGTAGTATAAGTATAGGTATAATATTAAAAAGACTATAGTATTTAATAAGCTTAGGTGCCTTATAGGTAGTAAATCTATCTATTAATAGTATATAGTATATATTATAGTAAGCCCCTTTAATAACTAGCCTTAGTAAGGTGCCCTATATACCTTTAGATATAATAGGAGTAACTTTAGTATCTCTAGTACTACTACTAGTAGTACTAGTACTACTGTTTTTATTTAAATAGTTAGCTACTAGAGGCTACTTTTTTTTCCCTTTTTCTTTAGTAAGCTTTTTTAGTTTATTTTTTAAGTATTTTAGTAAGGTTAATACCTATATTTTTTAAACTAATAACTAGGCTAAATAGCTAAAGTGTTATTTAAAAGAAAGGTCTATTAGTACTAAGGCCTTACTAGGTATATATAATATACTAGTATACTAAAAAGAAGGGCTTATTATATATAACTACTTATTAAAGTGCTTAATCTATTTTAATACTATATTTATATTATTAAACCTACTCTCTATAACTATAAGGTATAATATACTTAAAAGGCTAGTATTAAGATAGTTCTTTTATATAGTTTTACCCTAAAGAATAAAGAAGCTAGGGATTACTTTTATACTAACTAATATAGTATTAATAGCTATAATATACTCTCTATTCCCTAAATTATATATTATAGGTCTAAAATACTGTTTTCTCTATATATAGATAACCCTTACTAATCTATTAATAAATCTAGCCTAAAAAAAAGACTTATTAAAGTTCTATATATTATTAGGGGTAATATTAAAGGCTTTTAAAACAGTCTTATATTTAAGGAACTAGTTACTAATATACTAAATCTCCTCCTCTACCCCTATATAATTTATATCCTTCTACTTATAGAGATATACTATAAGCTCTTAATAATACTTTATCTATTAAGTATACTAGTTATAGTATATTAGTCTAGTAGGCTGTAGGTAATTTACCTATAAATAATCTATATAGTTAATAATAGAAGTAGGAGTTAGAGGGAGTAGCCTATCCTCTATATAGTAGATAAAGGTAATAAAGGTATCCTCCTTATTATATAAAAGAGCCTATAGGTAATAGTCTGCTAAAGGCAGTATATTAGATATATATAATATACTAAAAAGCTTACTTAACTGCTTATTTTTACCCCTTTTACTACTATTACTTACCTTAATATTAGTAACTTTATATTAGATAGCTAAAAAGAATATACTTTAATACTCTATAGTAGATTTAAGAGTTTATACCCTGCTTTAGTTATAGCTCCTGCGGCTTAGTAAGCTAAAGTAGTATAGCGCAGCCAGCCTGGCCTTCCTATAGGTCTTAGTATTAAATTAGGGTATATTTTAAAGCTCTTATTAAGACAAATTAAATAGTATAAAAAGTATTATATTTAGATAATAATTATAATTATTATTATTAATAGTAAGTTTTAAATTATTTAACAGTAAGGGGATATTTAAGATTTAGGTGCAGACTCTTGAGGGGCCTAATAAGTCTGCTAAGTAATGAACTCTAGCGGACGGGTATGTGGTCATACCTAAACGGGAGGTATCATCGTCCTTTTAAGCTATAAGTGCGCAACACGTAGGTCACCATTAATCTGTTTTCTGTAGCTGGATAGAATGTATTTATTTACTCCGAATTTCGTTTGTTTTAGAAAATACTAAAAAATACTAAGAAAACAAAATTGGATGGATTGCTGTATTTCATTAATTTTGCTACTCGTTCCCCACTGGACGATGGTAACGCGGCATCGCGATGCATGCCTTCCAGACCGTACAGGCAAACTTGCCTGTGACATGTCATCGCGGCATCATGTCGCCGTCCGCCTCTCGGTGTGCAGGCTTCCCACCAGTCGCGCAGCACCATGCCGCTAATGGGAACACGACTCGTAAAGCAAACAAAAGCAGAGGAACAGGCGACTAGGGAACCAATCTGGAAATTTAGGGTATCACTGTGCAGTTATGTAGTGTACGAAAGACGACACAGGCCGTTCTACCCATTAGCCATGTCGCTGACAGTCTAGACGAAAGCGAAAAACACAAAATGGCGCAGCACACGTGCAGTCTCTAACAAAAAAAAGGGGGAGAGGGGAAGTCACCTCTCCGGGCGCGGTCGCAAATCATGCATCTCTTATTCTAGCCCCCCAAACTCCTCCCCGCCCTGCTGCAAAGCTCACTAGGCTTCGACCATGAGCTGTTCACCCTCCTCCAATAACTCCGTCACCTTCTTCAGGTTACTAATGAGGCTACGCCCGAGACCAACGAGGAGCAGCTTCTCGGCGTTGGCGGGCAGGCCAAGGTATGTGGGCGGTTCGCGCTCCGGTAGCTTACGGATCCACGCCATGAAGTCCTGCATGGAGGTGCCCGACGGCACGACGAGGCTGCCCTCTTGGTTCTCTGCGCCCTCGACGAGTTTGTGGCCCACGTCATAGGCCGAAGGTGTCAAGAACGAGTGCACCAGCTGATTGAGCTGCTTGAAGTCGCCCTCGTTGTCGATCTTGCCGCCGTATGTCTCCGTCACGAGGTAGCGGATCATCTCCCAGGGGATACTCTGGGGAGCAATGTTCGTGCGGCTGCCGGCGGCGTTCTCGATCCAAGTATCAATGATGAATGCCGAGCATTCGTACTAGGAGCATGTCAGCACATGTTCAACTACATCGCACCAGGGGAAACTTACGTCACTGTCATTGAATTCCCAGAAGCCCTTCCAGCCCAAGCTGGGGGCGTATCGCAGGCGCTCTTGGATAACGGCGTGCAAGAACGCGAGGAGGAGGTACAGCCTCGTGCGCTCGACAGGGGCCTTGGAGGCTCTCGTCGACAGGGAGGTCATCGAGTCCTTCATGTTGGCGCGCACACCAGCGGGCTGCTCGTACATGAGGACCCTCGAGGCGCGGAGCAGGTTGACGGGAATCTTGGGGCTCGACTCCATCGACAGGAACAGTCGGAAGTCCGAGTGGGGGTTGAGCGATTCCATGCGCTTCTCGAGACTCTGCAGCCAGGTAGGAGCGAGATGAACGTTCTTGACCAAGACCCAGTTGCCTAATTGTGCAGCGTTGCTGATAGCCTTGTCTGCACTTGCGAGACCCTCGTTGGAGCCCATGGCAATGTTGGTGCACTTGATGCGCATCCTCTCGACGAGGTTGTCCACCTTGTAACTGGCGTCGAAACCAGGGCTGGAGACCAAGGAAATCGGCCTGGTAGCCGGCACCTGGCTGACCGTCTCCTTGAGGTCCTCAACAACGTCAAAGGTGTCGGAGCCGAAGATGAGAGTGACAAAACGCTCGGCAGCCGGGACGAACCGGTCGAGGCGGAACAGCTTGACGAGAAGCAGGGACTGCAGAGCCTGGTCGAAGGCCTCAGTGTTGTCCTCCCAGATCTG